ACAAGCGATTGAAAGTTGCCATAAAACTCATCCTTGACGTTGTTGTCAGATCGGAGAGTCGGGGCGTAGACAGCAATTACTGTGAGCTTTACTGGATGACCCTTGAATCGGGCTACTGCAATCCTAGAGGATATTGGTTTCCAGGAAAGCAAAGCACTATTAGCCCGATAGCTTAAAGCAAGTACCACTCCGTGTTGACCCGACGTTTCGATGCCGCTGTGGTACAGCCAGTAATGGCTATCAATAACTGGGATTTTCATAATTTTGGAGCCGGAGCCCGCCAGTCTGATTTCTGAGAGGCATATAATATTCAGCTGATAGTCATGCAGCGCGCGTATCGTTAGTGCTTGACTCCCGACATCTAAGATTGTTCTTACATTACAGCATCAACTGTAAGAAGTTTTGCGTAGTTTGAGGTGTCCAGTGAGCATACTTGTCGCCCGGACCATTGGAGAAGCACAGGGTGCGTTACTTCCCGGGAACGCCGTAGCATGATTTGCAAGACAGGGTGAGTGGATATCCATGACATTTCTAGGGAGTTAGGTACAGGAAACGTCCCCAGCGTAACTCGGCTTAAGGTCGAGTTGGCATCTCTAGCCTGTGTACATCCAAGTGCTAACTGCAACACAGCAGGAGGGTAGTGCATGGTTGCCGATGGCCCTCTGGGAGGAGCTCATACGCCATTGACAGTTGCTAGCTGAACAGAGGTCCATGCATCCCTGGTGAGTACGGGGTCACTGTCTAGGCCGCTGAGTCGTGAAACCGACTTCGTCAGCACAACACGCATGTTAGACGCCGACTCGTCGGGAATTGAGCTCCCGGTTACCCTCAACTTGGTTTGGCCCGCCTGTCGATCTGCTCACTGAGGTGTGGACGCTGTTACATCCAAACAGCTTCTGGGAGCAACAGATGAGAGCTTAGCACTCGGTGGAGACCAAAGAACGGGGGATGCCCCAAAGGGGCCGGCAGCCCTCCGAGTCAGAGGTGCTACCCCTACCGGGTACCCCATACACCATGTGACTGAGTGTGTCGCAAACAGTGGCGTTCGTACCTCTTCTTAATATCTTCGCAACATTATTCCACTTAAATTTTCCATTTTTTATTTGTCTCTATTTTCAACTTTCCTATATTCTCCCTACTGTTCATCCCAATGGGTAGCCAAAAAGCAGAAACCTGAACCGGCGCACGAAAGTGCATGGTTAGTGGTTGTTCAACCTGAAACTGTAACTGTTGATAGGAAGATTCAATTCAACGGATCAAGGTTAAACAGTATTAACCGATGTCTGCAAATCATGAAACGGCTTTATTTTTTTATAAATCTTATTATAACATGGTTAGTCTGGTCTCTTCCATGTACCACACTCATCCCTTCTCCCCATACTCAACCTTTATCGTTTAAACACCGCCGCATCAGAGAGAATCTCGGTTCTGTTTGCCAATTATTTTCCACGCACTCGAACAACCAATTCTTTTCCCGCTGTAGCTTAGATACACTTCACGGATATAGTAACTACTGTTTAGGCCTCGGCCTACCATCCGATTCTATCAGTTTATTCACCCATAGAGTACTCTATGGAACAGCCTCCCGCTGCTGGTCGTCGATTTCATCTCAAAGAGAATGTTTAAATAAAAGCTTCATCATCATCATTGTACAACGTAATACAGTGCAGCGAACTTCACTGATCGCTGCCAAGCGCATAATGCACACAATCCCTTACCCCATTATTGTTCTGTAGTTGACACCGTGCATGTCCGCACGTCAGTGTTATATATATGAAGAGGAAACGATTTACGGGGGAACTCATAGAGACCTTCAAATGTATGAAGGATTTCAGTAATATCAGTCCCCGAGAGCTTTTCCACCCTGCTTATGGGGATGGTTTGAGGGGTCACGAGCTGAAACTGAAAGAGCAAAGAGCTCCATTGAACATCAGACATCACTTTTTCACAAACCGAATTTTGAATCATTGGAATAGGCTACCGGCGGAGGTCATATCTTGTGGCACTGTGACCTCCTTTAAGCACCAGCTAGACCGAATATGGTCGGATCCGTTCCCGGATCTATACTAGGCTGCACCCCAGATGGCAACAATGAAGGGGGTACTAAGGTGATACTGAATCCAGACACTTTCCCTCCTAAATTTCTCTCCTGTTTCCTTGGTAAATGAAGCCAGCATAATTTTGGCCAGACTCCCTCTCCTCCACAGGAATGGTGTCATTCTGTGGCCCTTCAAAAAGCAGTACCGGAGTGGATTGGAGCATGACTCACTCACGAGGTGAAGCAACGGCACAGGAATGCATTCTGACCAATCGCAAAGTGCACGTTCACTTAGTACACACGAACACCCAAGAGCCACTTTCGCTTAAAACGTTACTCACAGGCATACGAAACTGGACATTTTTCGTTGCCGTGCCAAGACCAAAATCAATACAGGCATTAAGGTAACCACAAGGATAAAAAGAGAGAACTGTATGGTCCTCCTCAGCTAAACATCAGGCGGTCTAAAAAGAGTAGTTCCCATACCCTAACCGCAAGAGCCTTTTGACTCAATTTGAACGATCAGCGGTCTATAGATAAAACAGTGGCCAACATGCCCAGACCGTAAGGAGCCAGCGCTAACGTAGAACGCCATAGCGGTGTACTCCTGTTGGTCTCCAATTGACGTTCATGTGATAAGCAAATTGAGGTAAACGACAACAGTTATCACCAAACACATCCTTTGTGGGTGGTCTCAAAAGGTCTACTGCACACCGAGCACGAAAAGCCCACCACGCTCTCATACATCGTATACCATAGAGGATGCACCCGAATATA